AATTGGCTACTGGGCCCGTCGTGCCGCCCGCGCCCACTATTCGCCCAAGGGAACGTGAACCTCGCCGCCCTGACAACACCATCACCACCTCACCACCACATCCTCTTCTTCTTCATCACCGGGAGCGCGCGAGCTCCTCCGCCGCGAAGCCATCGCCAACCAAGCCATGCCCGCTGCTGCCGCCCTCACCCTCGCCCAACCCCAACCCCGACCCCGACCCTTGTGATCGTCCCAGCTCATCTCTCCCTCTCCGACGGGACGCGCCTCTCCCGCTTCCACCTCTCCCAACCCAACTTCTCCTCACCACCATGTCACCATCTCAGACGGACCAGGCCAGGCCTGGCGATGTGCTGCTCGTCATCCGTACGTTGCAGCCTCTCGCTCCCCTCACTTCTGCTGACGTCGCCCGTAGATGACTTCACCGCGCGGAGCCCCGACGAGCTGACCATGAAGCGCGGCGACCGCATCCAGCTCATCGAACGCGACGACGACTTTGGCGACGGCTGGTTCCTCGGTAGGCACCAGCAAAACGGTCTCAGTGGCCTCTTCCCCGAAGGTGAGCTCCGCGCCAACACAAACCACAACACCCTAACATGCGACAGTATACACGCAATTGGCACCGCGCACCGGCTTCGCCGCTCCCTTTCGCTCCAAAGCCCCTCCAGCCGCCGACTCCTCCAAAGACCTTCCACCCCCACCCGCGGACGAGGCCACCAATGCCGGTTTGGAGCGACAGCAGACATCTTCTTCCCAGGATACAGCCCCCAATGATTCCACTGGTCAGTCACACCCAAATGCCATTGGCCAGGCAACCGCCGGAGCCAATACCCAAGCAGGCCGAGGTTTGATTCCAGGAGACCAGAGGAGCCCAGTCATGAACGAGACTCTAAATGTAATAGATGAGCATTTGACAGACATTACCACTCCCCGCGGCACGAGTCACGAACGATCGCTACGATTTGGAGGCGACAGTTCTAGCGAATACAGCAGTAGCCACGTTGACCACCGTTTGTCCTACATCAACGGCCACGAGACGGACGAAGAGGAGCAGGGCCTGTACACGCTTTTCGAAGTCCGCGCCTGGACACCCCAACGCGTTGCCGAGTGGCTGGAGGACGAGGGTGTCGACATTCGGCAGTGTAATGTCTTCAAGGAGCAGGAAATCTCGGGCGAGGTGCTCTTGGGAATGGACCAACAATCGCTGCTCATGAAGGAGTTTGATCTCGGTCCCATTGGCCCACGTCTCAAGATTTGGCAAAAGATTCGGAGTTTGCAGGAAGAGGTTGCAGAGTTGGCGCGGAATTCCCAGGCCTACACCGACGGCTCGTCGTCCAGCCGACGCCCTTCGGACGCTCGACATCGTAGCACCTCGATAGGAACGGTTCTCCCGAGGATCCCCAGCTTGATGGAGTCCAATGGCAGGCCGTCGAGCAAACAGCGCCACTCGAGGCAGAGCTCTTCCCAGTCCAAGAAACCGTCGGAGGCGGCCTCTTCCCGCCGCCCGTCGGCAGCGTCAGTCCGGGACCTCAACCACAGCCGGCGGCACTCTTCCATTGATTTTGCTGCTGGAGGCTCGACGCCAAAGACTGCCGGTCCTGTCAAGGTCACCGTGCCCACGCCGCAGTCGCACAAGAAGCAGGGCTCTTTTGACCACAGCTGGTCAATGGGAGAGCAGCTCAACGGCACGACCGAGTCGAGTCCACGGGAAAGCGCCTTGAAGGTCATCACCCCAGATTTGGACCGAGGCTACTTTTCTGGAGGCGAGCTCGAAAATCGCAAGCAAAAGAATGTTTTGCGCAAGGCGCCCAGCTCGAGCCATTCCAGAGAGTCGAGCTATTCTCACGAGGGCGGTAGGCGCCTCTCAACCTTTCGACGCCACAGCCGCATTGGCAGTAGCGACTCGATTCGCGACTTTACCGATGCTGCTCTCTCTGGAAAAGGCTTGTTTCCGTCGAACCGCGCGAAAAACTCGCGTACTGCTAGCGGCCCAGAATTGCGCCATGGTCCCAAGCCCATCAAGGAGCGGGCCAACATTGTTACCAAGTTGGACTACGGAACCCCGAGCATTGATGCTATTGCCTCGTCGCCAAACCTGCTGGAAGGAAGCGATCAGTCCTCCCAAGGAAGAGCGTCGCCCCCTCCAGCCATACAGCGATATCCAAAAGAGGCACGTCCAACTGGTCTGAGAGCCATCTCAGACGCGCTTGCTGGAACCCTGAGCGGTGCTCGGAAACCGCCACCCTCACCAGTCAAGGACTCTCCACTAAACTCTCCGGTGCGCACCACCTCTAGCGGCACGCCGTCGCATGGATCCAAGAGCTTGGACGGAGAGTCTGCGCCTGACGTTCTGAGACAAGGCACCAGCACTTCGATGCAGTCCACTGGTACCGCACCCCGACGCAAGTCGAAAAAGGAAACGAGCGCATACCAGCGAGGCTTGGAACAAAAGCCCCCGGCGGAGCAAATCAAGGGCTGCGAATACAGTGGCTGGATGAAGAAGCGCTCGTCCAATCTCATGACGACGTGGAAGACTCGCCTGTTTGTCCTGCGCGGACGCCGCCTCTCGTATTACTACGCCGAAGATGACACTGCTGAAAAAGGCCTCATCGACATTTCGGGCCACCGCGTGCTTCCTGCAAACGACGAGCGCATCACTGGCATACACGCTGCCATGACTGGAGCCAAGTCTTCTCCCAGCTCGCCCATGAATGCATCAATCCCGACATCTGCGTCTATTGGAGAAGGCAAGGATGATGCCTCGGGCATGTTCATCTTCAAGCTCGTCCCGCCGCGCAGCGGTCTGTCCAAGGCCGTCAACTTTACCAAGCCGACCGTCCACTACTTTGCCGTCGACAGCTTGCAGCAAGGGCGCGACTGGATGGCGGCTCTGGTCAAGGCCACCATCGACCGCGACGACAGCAAAGAAGTCATCAGCACCTACCAGCAAAAGACCATCTCCCTCTCCAAGGCGCGCGCCATGCAACAGAGACCTCCGGCGTTAATGGCTGGCGAGGAGAGCGCCGAGGAGAATGGCGTCAACCCATCGCGCATCGAAGAAGTCGACGAGGACCCGCAAAAAGGGCTGGCCATTTCAGGGTTGGAGGGCAAGAATGATAGCGGTGCCGACGGCGACCGGAGTAACAGTGTTGGTGGCAGCGACACGACGCAAGCCCAGGGCAGCAGCTTTGCGACGGCGAGTGCAGGCAGCGAGTCTGCCGAGACCAAAGAGTAGCGAGGCTGTTCACGTGGCAACTGTGCAACAACACGGCTTTCCTTTGCAAAAGTTGACGATGGAGGGTGGAGGTCGACACGCTTGTGCTAGCGCTGCGGCGGGTACCTACGCTAGGTCCGTTTCACACTTGATGATTTGGAAAGAGACTGTTTTGCCTTGCGGGTAGCTCCGCCGCCCTTCATCCCCCTTTGTTTCTAGTTTTCTTTTGGTTCATGGTGCATTTTGCATCCACTGGTCGCTGGTTGAAGCTTTTTCTCCTCAACTTCCCTCGACCCACATCATCTCTTTCAAGCAGATACCCAGTACTCACGGTCCGTAGTAGATGGGCTCGACGACTGGTACAGCAGAGTCGTCTTGAGCATTTCACGTACTCGGTCGTGCCTTGAATCTTTTTTTTGGTTTTTTTTCGTTTCTCTAGTTTGCCCTTGTTTGCCCCTGCCGAGTCTTTCTCTCTTCTTCTTCCGTAGTCAGCCAGCCTGCTTGCCACTCGAATCTTTGTTGCGTGCGTCGCATCTGCGTTGGAATCTCTTCCCTCCTTCTGTTGTCCGATCTCTCTCTGTCTCTCCTTGTCTGACACGTCGTTGTCCTTTTTGTCTAGCGAAACCCTTGCATCTGTCCCATCTATACCGACCACCAACTACCACCCACGGTATGTGACTACGAAAGCGGCTTCATATCTTTCCTTTTTCCCCTTGTCTGAATCTTTCCCCGTTTTCATGCGGACGGCACAGTCTCAGCACACACATATAGGTACTTATCTAATAGTATGTAGTAGCTCAAAGTCAGTAGTTGTCAGTCGCCATGAAGCAAGGCCCGCCAATACCCTGCACGTCTCGTCTCCGGGGAGGTGGTGCATTATTGGAACGGAACGGAACGTGCAGCGGGTCCTTGTGCGTCTCTCGTCGTCTCTCGATATCCCTATCAATCAAGAAGAGATGGTTCTCGGTAGAGGCGTGGTGTCTTTTTTTGGAAAAATTTCGGATCTTTCTTTTCTTCGATTTTGCTTTTTGAAGGATGCATGCTCTGTTTTCCCAGTACATATGTTGGGTCCACCCACCCAGCCACCCACCTGCGACCTTTTTGTGTAATCCCGCTACTTCTTGTCCTTCATTCTATGTCATTGCGTATGTATGTCTCTGTGCTGCGCTCTTCAGTGGCGGTTGGAGGAGCGGATGTGGACGCGGGATGTGCCAAGTCTTGCACAACATCCATCTACAAAGCAAGCACTCGTGGTGTTGGCATTGGCTTGCTTAGGTGTGCTGTGTGGCTGGTGGAGCGTCGAGGCGGCGACATCTGACCCGCACGCTGCGTTGTCGTCGTCATCGTTGTTGTTGTTGTTGTTGTCGTCGTCGTCGCGGAAGCAAGCGTGGATTTTGAAAAGTTACCTACCTCATCTTACTCGATTTTAATCCTACATAGTCCATTCATCTTCCTGTCTCATCTTACTGTCTCGCTATCTCACACATCAACAGATGCATTTGCTCGAGTCTTCAAACTCGTAGACTACCGCTTCGCTTCCTTGTCTACCACATCAACCTCCCCTTTCTGCAGATTCAACCGCGTCTCCACCATGTCATCAGATCTGTCTGCAGCATGCACACTCGAACTATCTATCGCACGCCCGACCTTTCCAGCAAAACAGTCTCTCTCCTCCCTTCACCCTCACTATCGCATCCTACCCACCACCTCCCCGTCCCTCCCCCTTCCTCCCCCCAAAACACCAAAAAGCAAAAGAACAACATCCACACTCACCCCCTCTCCACCAGGCTGGTCACTACGAGGGTCGAACTCGCGACCTTGGCGTTATCTTTCAAGATCCTCGTTGTGTCGAGAACCGCCAGTATTAGCACCACGCTCTAACCAACTGAGCTAAGCGACCTGTGCGAGATGGGGGTTATGGGGTGTTGATGGGAAACGGCGTTGCTGGCAAAGTTTATGATGTGAAAAAAAAGGGGGTGGGGGGGAAGGTCGGGAAGGGAAGGGAAAAGGGGAGGAGTCTTTTTTTTTTTTTTTTTGTGGAGATGTGACGTGATGAGAGAGGTCCATGGGTGCTGGAAAATTGCCAAGTTGGGGTTAGCGCGAGGGGATGAGCGCCGAGCGTGGGTGGCCGAGATTGGTCGATTGACCATTTTGCCGACACGACAATCGACATCTCTTGTGGAGAAAGAGAGAGAGAGAGGATCGGGACAGTGTAGTAGGATGGCGGCTGAGGGTGCGTGGGCTGTTTTGATGCGTGCAAGCATGCATTCATACAGCCTCTACCTGCCTGCGTGCGATGCATTGGAGGAGGAAAAAAGAGAGAGACAAGTAATTCCGAGGCCGTTTTCGACCAGAAGATATTCGTTCGTCTGCCCCATCCTTGAAAGATGAAGGTTGATGGCTCAAAGGAAAAGAAATGCAGCAACTCTCTAGCTATGTAGCTAGCTAGCCAGCCTGAAAACCTTCTTTTAGCGGGCAGGCAGGTAGGCAAGCAGGCGGCGCTGCCACACAGCTTTTCTTTTCTTTTCTTCCTTCACCTCTCCTCCCCTCTCCTCACCCCTGCTCTGCTTGACTAGTCTCAAGCGGGTAGTGATGCTACTGACTAGTTTAAATAAGATTGACGCAGAAGAAGAAGAAGAAGAAGAAGAAGAAGAAGAAGAAGAAGAAGTAAAAACATACATGTCTTTGGTGTATGTACATGCTCAAGAAGTAGAAATGGGAAAGCACGAGGGGGAAAAAACAAAAGAGAATACCACAGCACGCTCCACCCCACCCTCCCTCCTTCTCTCCAACCAAACAAGTCCGGCTATTTAGTAGATTCAAACCATCACCACGCCGCGCCGCGCCGCCTACTTGTAGCCAGCCCACTTGGGTATCCAACAAACCACCCGACTGACTGACGTGTACCGATTGAGGTGGTTACTCTGCTCCGGTGCTCCGCAGCTTTCCATGCACACTGCACTGCGCGGGGCGCGACATCTGAGTCTCTACTTGCCCCGTCTCGTCTCGTTTTCTTTCTTCCGTCGAGGGAGCGAGCGAGCGAGCGAGTGCCAACCCAACCCAACTGAACTAACCCAATCGAAGAAGAGACTGAACCAAGAAAAAAAAGAGGGAGGGGGGGATTGGGATTAGGCATTAGCTATACACTACACTGCACAAAGAGAAGCGATGATGATGATGATGATGATGATGATGATGAAGCGGGAAAGAGCAAAATGTGGAGCGCGCGTGTATAGTAGTAGGTTTGGGAAGAACGATTCGGTTGGAGCGGGTTGCAGATGATGGACGGTCAGGCATAGAAGGCTACATAAGTACATAGCTGGCCGGGCGTTTGCTGTCTGTCTGTCGTCTTGCGCCGCCGCCCCCCGTCACTGACGTCTGGAGCTCTACAAACCCATCTTGCTGAGAGATGGGCACGCTGTACTTACTGTACAAGACTGTACTAGATACACGTATGTAGACAGACTACTATACACACACATCTACGGACACGTATGTAGGCAACCTAAACAACTTTGTCACACATTCGCTTTGACTTGAGCCCACTACCACTCAGCAGGTACGGTAGATACATACGCATCTTGACCTGTCGGCCATTCCATCAACATCGACATCGCCGCGGCTAATCCACAAACTACTCACTCACAGCTGGCTACCTAGCTACATGGCATCGAAGCTGTCTGTCTGCTGTCTGTCTGTACAAGCAATATACGCCCTATATCCTCCCCTCCCTCCACTCACTTGCCACGTGGGGCCCCACGCAAAACCACCCCGGCTAGGTGAATTGCAGAATGCCTGCCTGCCACTGTGCAGTCAACTTTTCCTCCTTGCCCCCTTTTACCTCGGTCGATATATCAATCACGACGCCGCGGCGCCCCCCTTCATGAACCAATCCGCACTCGCATCGACCATGAAATGGGTAATGTTGAACCCATCCGCCACGCCCATGCCACTGCCACCCCCAGTCAAGCCCATGTGATGGTTCAAGCTTGCTCCCGCGCCGCCACCACCTCCCCCTGCGCCGCCGCCGCCGCCATCACCATGACTGATATCCGTCCCCGCGGTGCTGCTGCCAGACGCAGCAGCGTGATCCAGGACCTGGCCAGCGGGTGGAGGACCGCCACCGCCGACGCCGTTGACGGGCAACCGCGGCATGTTGAAAAAGTCGAAGACGTCGAGGTATTCGAGTTCATTGGGGGCGGGCGTGCGCGCGGCGGCGGCCGCCGCAGCGGGATGCGGCGTCATGGCAGCAGGAAAGCGAGCGGACGTTTGGGCATGATGGTGGTTCGGATTGTGCGCATGCGTCGAGTGAGCAGTGAGGTGATTACTGCCATGTGGCGACGCGCCATTGGGACCTCCACTCAAGGGCGACTGCGAGGGCGGCGCATGCTGCTGCAGGCGCGGCTGCCGCGATATCAAAAAGTCGAGATCAAACGCGCAGCGGCGCATGTCGGACAGAATCTTGACGCTCGACGGCGTGGTGCGCTGGTCGGGACCGGCGGTTGCGCTGCCGCTGGGCGCAGAGGGCCCGCTTGTCGCGGCCGACGCGCTCTGGCTGGCGCGGTACTCGTCCAGCACGCGCTGCAGCAGCGTGGCGTAGCGTTCGGCCACGCGCCAGTAGTGGCCCATTTCGCGGAGCGTGTCGACGAGCGGCGTGATGGCCGGGTCGACGTGATGCTCGATGGTGGAGCCGTGGACGAGAAGCACGCGCGCCGCGACCCACAGAGAAAAGGCAAAGTGCGTTCCGAGCGTGGAGAGCAGCGCGTGCGATCTGACGTAGTCATTGAGTGCCGAAATTGATTCGACGGCCGTCAGACAGCGTTGTATTGCTGTGTAGGAGGGGGTGAAGATGGGAGAGCGAGTTGTGGGATAAGCAGCGGACGAATGGAGACGAATGACAGTCCTTTAAACGTTAGCCGGTTCCAACAATATGGCGCAGACTTACGTGTGATAGGCGGCGTGCAGCATGATCCAACTCCCATCAACAGGAGGCTCTCCCTTTGAGTTGCCATAGATTCTCGACATGTTGCCAAACTCGCCGGGCAACCCAAACTTCCACGAAGCCAAGGCATTGTCCAGCTCCCTAAACTCGCGCTGCCAGTTCTCGACGTCGGTCAACGAGCCAATGTCGACCGGCTTTTTGAGAAATTGGTGTATCTGGGACAGGATGCCAACAAGCTCCACGTAATACGAGAAAGATCCAAGGTTTTCGGGCTTGTTCAGCGAGTAATCTGTCCGCTTGACCGTGTGGAACCAGCGCGTTTCCACGGCTTGGTTGCGGATAAAGTACTCGTCACGACACGGGAGTTTGCGGTCAATTTCCTTTTCATCGAGCGCAAACTCAAACGCCGTGGCAACCGTGGCATATCGATCGAGAAGATAGACCATCCAAAACAGCCTCCGCCGGTTTTCATCGTCGATAAAGTCGCCCGGCTCCGGCAGCACCATGGCCCTCAGGGTGTAGATTGACGGCACATTTGGCGACACTATGCTCGACGTGTTTTCGACGGCAAGTCCAAGCTGCACCACAGACCGCGTAATGAGCGCCAGCAGATTCCAGCCCGGAGGCCCGTTGGAGAATCCGACGAGATCCAACGCCAATATCACCAGCGCCTGGAGCGCCTTGACCGAGCTATTCTCCAATCCATAGAGCAGGACCTTTTGCTTGGAGATGGAATGGTAGCGCTCGCGGTTCTCGGCCGTCAGGCGGGGGTCCGTGGAGAAGCGGAGCGTCGTTGCGACAATGGCATGCAAGAGGATGCGGTCTGCTTCGTCCAGGGAGACTGACCCAAACAGCCTGTCCAATGTCGACCGGCGGTGCAGAATTGGACACCACGTGTTGATGTGCTTGAAGTACAGATCCGCGAGCGCATACAACAGGTCGTACGGAGGAAAGTCGGGCTCCTGGTGGCTGATGGCGGGCTGGAGCTGCGGGTGGTCAATGTTGAGCGTGGGAGATTCCAAGGGAGGATTGTTGTTGTTGTAGGTCGAGGGTAGGGCTGAGATGGAATGGTGGCGGCCATGGTAGTACGTCGAGGGCTTCTGCAGAAACAGGGCGGTCTCGGGCTTTGGAACGTGGGGAGTGGTTTGTACGACGGGCGGCTTGTCGACCAACTGGGCAATGGTCGACTGCTGGCGCTGGATCATGTCCTCCAGACGATCCAGCCTGGCCTCGAGCTCTCTCCCGTAGCCGGCGCGTAGGCCAGGCTTCTTGCGCTCCTTGTACTCGCAAGGCTGCGAATTGCGGGCGCACCAGCCGCAGCTGGGCTGGCCTCTGTCGCATTTGACCTTGCGCTGCTTGCATGTCTCGCACGAGACGGACATGGGCCGCTTGCGCTTGCGCGACGTCGACTTGGAGTCGTCATGGTCGCTCTCGTCGTCGGGCTCGGCGTCGTCGAGGAGGTCGTCGTCGGGGATGCTGTCATTGGCCTTTGGCGAGACATCCAGCGGTGGTAGCGGCTGGTTCTGCGCCGACTCGGATATGGCAAGCGTCACCATGGCGGAATCGTGGTTGGCATGGTGGAGAGATGGTTCGGTGTCGTGTTGTCCGTTCGTGGGAAGATAGCCCGACGAGGGTCAAATGCGGGGGAGGGTCCAGCGTCAACCCAACTCCACACTCTGCCGACTCGGCCTTCAACACCACAACCCCCGAGATCTTTTGACCATGTCAAATACGCAGCAAGCCATGCTCCAATTCCGTCCACTATCTCTCCACTATCCACCATGACCTCCCGCTTCCCCACCATCAAAAAGATTCGCACCTTTGTCATCCAGGGCGTCGGCTCTGGCGGCGACTACCACAATGTCAAGGGCGGCCATTGGCTCATCGACACCAAAATCTCGACGCCCATGTCGGGATACGAGGCCTACCGCAAGTCGCGGACATCCTGGGGCATCAAC